ATTAGTGGCATACCGTTTAGTACCCTCTACTCATGTATTAGTGCATACCGTTTAGTACCCTCTACTCATGTATTAGTGCATACCGTTTAGTACCCTCTACTCATGTATTAGTGCATACCGTTTAGTACCCTCTACTCATGTATTATTGGCGTCCACTTTAACTCCCTATACTAAGCTATCAATGATTTACTGTTTAATACCCTATATCCAGGTATTAGTGACAAACTGTTTAGTACTGTGTACTCAGGTATCAGTGGTACCCAGCTTAGCTCCCTTTACACAGGTATTAGTGGCATACTGTTTAGTACCCTATACTCAGGTATCAGTGTCATACTGTTTAATACTCTGTACTCAGGTATTAGTGTCATACTGCTTAGTACCCTATACTCAGGTATTAGTGTCCTACTGTTTAGTACTCTGTACTCAGGTATCAGTGGTATACTATTTTGCACCCTGTACCTGTGTGTCTGTGGCATACAGCTACCTAGGTCCCTTAGTTTGTAATGGTAATAAAAGTTGACAATAATCACTTCCCAATAACCAGATCTGTCCTCTCTGCTGTTCTGAGAGCAGATTAAGCTTGTTGAACTACCCTGACCGTTCTGCTGCTGTGAATTCATCATATTAGATAGTCTAGATTGCTCCTCATTTCAGGAACACTTTATTGTCTTTGTGAATGATGGTGTGTGTGTGTGTTTATATATAGCATGCTAATGCTGGCCAGTTTGGACCTGTGTCTTCCTTCCCGCTGGAATCATGGAGTTCCTCATTCTCCCGGGCACTGCCGCCTCACTTGGGAATGGCCTCCTGGCACCCTGCTAATTCTGGCGTGCAGGAACTCTCCGGCATCCAGGGATGGTCCCGGTTCCATAGAGAAATGGCTCCAGTGCCACCAGGCAATTTGTGATGAGGTGAAGGCAAACAAAGAAACATAAACTAACGAAAGCTTCCGCTCATCATTCACACCTTTCACAGTCTGTCATGCATACAGATATACACGCACGCATTTGTCCGTCCGTTACTGGCATTTTCTCATATATTTAGCATTTTTCTTCCTCCCTGTTCTACCCCACAAAGTTCTAGCCCATTTCCAGCAGCCGTTCAGCTGACTGGTCATTAACCAGTGGGTGCTTTTGCTCCTGGTGGTGCATCGCTGGAGAGTGTCTTCCCTGCCTGTCGGGAGGCCGGAACGGCCCAAGCGAGTGGCGAACACCTAATGTATTCATCCGCTAAGCGACGGGGAGAGTTTCCACCCCCTTCATTATAGCCCAAAGGTGAATTTAGAAAACAAAGCCCCCCCCCCCCCCCAAAAGCCGCAGGTAAAGTCTGAGAGCATTTAATGAAAGTGGGATGACAATAATCTCTCAGTTCATCGCAGCCCAAGAGAATCGTCTGCATCATACAGCCCGTTGGATCTTGGTTGATGGCGCTCTCTCTTCCCACGGCGTGACGGCCTGCTGGGTAATGCTGTTAGGACCAGTACCTGCTTGTGATTGGAGATGGCAGGGATGTGTGGTCTTTGTTTCATTA